TATGTCTGTCTACCTACCTATCGATATGTTTGTCTTTGTCTACCTACCTATCGATATGTCTGTCTACCTACCTATTGATAATGTCTGTCTACCTACCTATTGATATGCCTGTCTGTCTACCTACCTATCAATATGTCTGTCTACCTATCGAGCTATCAATCTGTCTGTCTGTCTGTCTGTCTGTCTACCAATTGATCTATTGTTTGGTCTGTCTGTGTGTTTGTCTGTCTGTCTACCTATCGCTCTATCGATCTGTCTCTCTGTCTGTCATCTGTGTACTTATCGATCTATCAGTCTGTTTGTCTGTCTCGACAGATTGATGTTTAAATTTTGTTCATCACTAAAGTATGAGATCAGCTGCTTGATGGGCCGCTTCTTTTCAATAAAAAGCTCTCCTCCTGGGCTGCTTTTTCCACTATATTTATGTTCATTAATCTGTGCTGCTTTTAGCTTTAAGCTCTTTAGGTAACATCTCACACAGCAAGTGGTCAAGTGTGTTGTTTTTCAGTGCTCATTTTGGTAATATTTTCAGTATTGTTCTTCCATCCTTTATCCACTTTTTCCTTTCTGGGTTACTGATATCCAGCAGTCACTGTGCGAGAGGTGGGGACACATTGGACAGATCTCTAGGCCATCGCAGGGACACATAGAGACAAACTACTATTCACAGTCACCACATTTAGAGTTAGGAAAAATCCTAACGTGTTTTTAAGGAGAAAATTACTTGGAGAAAACCCACGCATGCACGAAGAGAACATGCAAACTCCACCCAGTCAGGATTTGATCCAGCAACCTGCTCAATGAGAGGCAACAGCTCTACGAACTGAGCCACCGTGCCATCCTCACTTTTGTATTGTTTTGAAATAAATAATGAGAATAATAAAACCAGTAACAATTAAGTTCAGTTTCACACCTTCAACATCAACTTTTGGTTTGTAGCTAGCCCTTTGAAAGAACTGGTGAAATTAGTAAATGGTTTATTGTTTTTTCTGACTGGATTTTGATCGATGCGGAGAAACAGTGCTAGTATTTCTCTGGATAAGTCACAAACATGCCATTAAACTGTTGTAATATTCTAAAAAAAACAATAACAGCAGTGGACTCGGGTAAAACGGAGACAAGCATACATCTAAAAAAAGCTTAAAACTAACATTTTAACTACAGTTGGAATAATGGGTGCAGCCACCATCCTGTCATTAACAATAACATTATTTTTGTGTTGATATTTAACAGGTTTAGAAAGGTTTCAAACCTCTCATTTGTGTGGTCCTTCATTTGAACCTCAAGCACTGCCTCATTTGTCCGACACCGGAGCCACTTCACTGACTGATTTGATTTTCATTTGAAGGCTGCAGCCTCCAGCTCTCTACCCTCAGCCCACAGTCGTCCGTGGACAGTGACCTCGGTACATCGGAGGTGGACGATGACTCCGTCAACCTGGAATATAAACTGCAGGACCTCACGGATGTCCAGGTTATGGCCCGACTCCAGGAGGAGAGTAAGTCATTGTGTTTGATGATATTTTTGCCTCTAAAGGCTTTTCAGAGTTCTTTGTTGTCAGCTCACATCTTCTACTGTCCACTTTTGTTGCTTCCCCTCTAATAATTTAACCTTCAGACCTCAGAGCCCATCGCTACTTCAGCTTCATTAACCTCCGGAGGTGATAACTGTGTGTTTGTGTGAGAGATTTTTGTTTTTCCTCCCCTGCCTGTCCTCATGTCTCGCTCCTCCAGGTCTAAGACAGGACTATGCCAGCACATCGTCCGTCCTGGCCAACCGCCGCAGCCAGAGCTTCACCTTCCAACTCAGCCAGCTCAGCGCCGGCCCCGACCTGGAGGAGGAAGACGAGGAGGACGACGAAGACTACGGCCTCCTTCCGCCGCCGCAGCCGCGCCTCACCCGCCTGCCCCACTCCCACACTTTCTCCAGCATCCGAGACTGGCGAAGAAGCACCAGTTCTCTGTGCACCCCTCCTTCCACCCCCTCCACTCCGCCCTACCCTTCCGCTGGCTTCGCCTTCCAAGCTCAGCCCCCCGCCCAGCTGCAGGAACTGGGCAGCCTCTGTGGAGCCGAGCAGCAGGGCTTCAGACCAGGATCAGGTGAGAGGAACCACCTCAGTTTACATCATGGCTATAAAACGCACAAAGAAACTCTTGGTTTCCAAAGAGTATAACCTTTTTCCTCTTTTGTTGTTTGCTCCATCATTTAAAGGTGAGCAGGAAAACAACAAACTAAAATTTAACAGACAAAGAGACAGTTTTCCTCAGGAAACTGTAAAGACAGATGGAATACAGTAGTCCCTCGATTATCATGGTGGTTATGTTCCAGATACCACCACGATAGGTGAAAAAACATGAAGTAGGAATGTTATATTTATTTTAGTATGTATATATAAAATACTTTGGTTCTAGTTCTGCAGACCTACCCTGCAGCGATGAAGCCCACCACCCCATTCAGGTTGATGTGTGCATGGATAAAAATTATTAAGTAATAGATAGATCATTACTTCTGACTTTGCGTTGCAAAACTTTCCCTCCATTTCGGCAGAAAACAGTGGCCGGAAGAACTGTTGGGTTCTGGGTAGTGTAGTTCTTTTGACTGGGGTCACAGTATAGGCTTGCTGGGGAGTGGTGGCGCATCAGGGAATGTGGTAAAGAAGTGAAAAAGAGAGTCCAGGCAGGATGGAGTGGATGGAGAAAAGTTTCAGGAGTGATTTGTGACAAAAGGGTGTCAGCAAATGTCAAAGGAAAAGTTTACAAGACAGTGGTGCGACCAGCTATGTTGTATGATCTGGAGACAGTGGCATTGACAAAAAGACAAGAGAAAGAACTGGAAGTGGCAGAAATGAAGATGCTAAGGTTCTCCTTAGGAGTGACAAGGATGGATAAGATTAGGAATGAGATAATCAGAGGTACAGCACAGGTTGAACAACTGGGAGATAAAATTAGGGAGGCCAGACTGAGATGGTTTGGACATGTCCAGAGGAGGGATCGTGGGTATGTTTGTAGAAGGATGTTAGAAATGCAGCTGCCAGGAAAAAGACAAAGAGGAGATATATGGATGCAGTTAGAGAGGACATGAAAGTAGTTGGAGTGAGGACAGAGGATGCAGAGGACAGAGTGAGGTGGAGGAGGATGACTCGCTGTGGCAACTCCTGAAGAGGGAAAAGCTGAAAGAAGAAGAAGAAAAGAAAGAAGGGGAGTGGTGGCGCAGAGGTTAGAGAAGATGGGCCTGTTATCTGAGGATCGCCGGGTCAACTCCCGGTACTGACAACATTAAAAAAGATTGTGGGTAGGACAGGTGAAACACCTACACCTGCCTCCACTCGCATTTGCCCCACTCAGGGCCCTTGAGCAAGGCCCTTAACCCCCACCATCTGCTCCTCCAAGCGCCCTAGATGGCAGCTCTCTGTTTTACACAGAGGGCTGTGGTAGCTCAGTGGTCTGTGTTTGTGTCAGGAAGGGCATCCGGCGTAAATATAATTGCCAAGACTTTCATTCGACTTAGTTTGCTGTGGTGACCCCTGACGAAGGGAGCAGCCGAAAGAAGAAAAGAAAAAAAAAACAGTATAGGCTTATTGAAAGAAAACTACAAAATGGTGGCGCCTGTCCAAAGTGGGTTTCTTTGTTTTTTTGTTAATAATTTATCCCATACCATCTCAATCGTGTGAGAAATATTAAAGTTGAAAATCGTGTGTCATGTAAAATCTTGCCTTGAAAAACCGCGAATGAGTGAGTCCGTGAAAGTTGAACCACAAAGTAGCGAGGGACTACTGTAAAGAAAAACAATAAAGGGGCTTTAAAAAATCTGTGAAATATTGGACATTTACAGTAAAGATGAATAATTTGTGTTTGAGTGGCAGAGATAAACCACTCCAGTGTTTTCCCCTACCATCATGCAAGCAGGGCGCCCCGCCCCATCAACAGAACCAAACGCCCTGCCTATTGAACTCCCCCACTCCATTCCACCCGAACAACTGATAGTATTAATGTAGCGTGGGACGCAATACAAACGTGCTAGCAAAAATGCTGCTGATGTACCGCCACCTCCCCCACCCCCCTCCTCTTCCGGTTGATAAAACCCAGCAATAACGTAGCGCTAAGTTAGCAGATGGGCAACACAGACATGACTCCATCCCATACTCCACTCCCCATCGTTGATAAAAACCGACAGCAATGTAGCGCTAAGCTAGTGGGCTGGCAACACAGACGACAAAAACAGTATGACGAGCGCCCTGCCAAGGGAACTGATCTAGGAGAAACACTGCACTCTACGTGAACTGAGCCTGATCTGTTATTTAGTTTTTCAGCTTTATTTGAGCTAACAAAAGCACATGTTCATTGCAGCTGATTTTACTGCATAAAAGACTCAAGTTTAGCTGTTTGTTTGTTTGTTTTTTTATCTGCAAGAGTCTTAAAAATAAAGTTAGAAGGAAAGTCAGAAGCTTTATTTTCTGAGCTGTTTTAGAGAAAATGTAAAGTTTTCCTTTTAGACCCTGCAATGGTGCTTCAACTATACATGACCTTCTAACTTGGATGTCACGCTAATTCATATTTAACCTGTATAGTTGGAAAACAAGAAACGGGAAGTTGATGTGATCAACACCTCAACTTTAAGTTTGACTTTTCTTCTAAACTCCAGCAACAATAATGAAAGGTTCAAAATTAATTTTCCATGCTTAAAAGTTGACAAGTTTCCATGTGAACCCAGCATTTATTCTGTTCCGTTTTAAATAAGTACGTAACAGAGGCTCTTCATCTCAGCACGTACATGCAGAGGACAGGGAAAGCTGCTTTTTCAACAAGGCTTGGGTGACGTGACCGCATGGTCTTAGTGTCTGACATTCCTGTCTCATGTTGTTCTTGGAATTAGAAAACAGTATCTGTCTGAGAAGTTAATGTCACAAGTAGTGTTTATTAAAAAATACAACACTAATATGTATTATTTGTTTGTATTTTGAATATTTCTGTCTGTTTACTGTATTGTGTTTGGTGTGTGTGTGTGTGGTTCTTGGTTGTATTGATTTGTGGCAGCTCCAGCTGAATATGAGAGTAAGTTCAGTGTTTTACTAAAATTTCTATCTTTATCCTCCGGAACAGAAAATGTCTCGTGCTGAAACACGTTGCTTGATAAAAACCATCTAAGCCTATTGGCGAGGTGCTCTTTAAGCTCAGACGGTTGTGTGTTTCCCATCAGTCTGGCGGGATTAGAGTTTTAAATCTGAGGAGGCTGTTGGCGTTTGACATTTTTTAGCTTCTCAAGATGCCACGATGTTAGACATTTTGGTCAGCGGATAACTTGTAGCTTTGTTTTCTGTCCTTGAACTCTGTGTTTGAGGTTTAAGTGCATTTATAGAAGAAAATCTAGTGTGCTGAAGCTTTGAGTTATGAGTTAACATCAAAGTTCATGCTCAATAATCCAGTTAAAAAAAATCTAGGTCATCTGGACAGTTTCTTTTTTTGTTGAGACGTTTCGTCCTTCATCCAAAGGACTTCATCAGTCCAAGGAGTTACAACAAACTCAGCAGACAAACACAAGCAGTACACTCACATAGTGGACTAACCAGTTTGCTGGTGATAAGATGGTGATAAGATGGTTTCTGGAGTCTGCCCTCTCCCCCATCGACTCCTCTGAGGCAGCCATAGCTAAAGTGGTTCAAAACAAACAAAAAAAATCGTCCAAATGACCTGACCGAACATTGTTGGATTTTTTTAAACCTGGATTATTGAGCATGAACTTTGATGTTTTGAACCACTTTGGCGATGGCTGCCTCAGAGGAGTCGACGGGGGAGACGGCAGGCCCCAGAAACCATCTTATCATCAGCAAACTGGTTGGTCCACTATGTGAGTGTGCTGCATGTGTGTCTGAGTTTGTAATGGATCCTTGGACTGATGAAGTCCTTTAGACGAAGGCTGAAATGTCTCAACCGAAAAAGAAACAGTTGACCTGACTGAACTTTGTTGTATTTTAAGGGTTAAATGTAGGTTTTCTTCTGTTTGTCCCTGTTAGATAAATTGCGGAGGAGCATGCCTAACCTTGTCAGAGCTCCCAGCCTTCCCAGTGTGCCCATTATCACCCCTTCCAGTGCTTCGTTTGCTTCGTCTGCTTCTTTGCTTCGTAACAGTCAGAGTTTTGATTCGTCCAGTGGGTTTTCACGCCTGCAGTCCTCTAGTAAGACACCACTTCATTTATTCACTTTCATCCTGAAAATGAAGCCCGTTTCCTGTTTAATGTCACCAACTCTCACCTGTCAGTCTCACCTCCAGGCCAGTTTCAGAACAGGGTCCAGAGCGTGGGGAACTTCACCTCGTTGTCACGACAACCACTGAAGGCTACCGCCTATGTGAGTCCCACCATCAAGGGCTCGAGCTCCATCAGCCTCCAGTGTCTGAGCAGCAGCAGCAGCGGAATCCCCCTCCTCAGTAAAGCTGCAGCCGGAGGCGGAGCCTCCACCCTGACCACCCAGCGCAGCAACCTGCCACGCCCCGCCTCCTTCGTGGGCACCACAAGCTCCACCTCCCGCAGCAAACTCGCCCAACCAGCACGAAGGTAAAGTTAAAGTATTAAACGTTTTTTTGTTACGTGACAAAAAACAAACTCAAAAGTTCTTAAACACAAGACCAGGGTTTAATTTGTAAACCAATCAATGTTGAAACGCAAATAGCAGGTATGGGTCTGGGGGTCCTCCCCCATAAAATTTTGAATAAAGTAGATGTGATTTCCTGTGTTTTGGTGTATTTTAACAAGTTATCTACATTTGTAAACACTCCGCTTCTTTCAAGCATCCTACCCCCCCTCCCTCTTACTTGACTGTTCCGAGCCTGACTCTATCCTTGCTCTTTGTTGTCCGACTCCACATGTGTAACCTCCAAGAGCCTGCCTGTGGGCTCCTGCCCGCGTACGACTGCCTGGTTAGCTCGGCATTCACCCCCACCACTCTTTTAGGTGCAGATATGTTTTAAGGGGAGAGGCGGAAATGCTACTTGAAGAGGCATCTTGTATGCTCATAAGTGGCTGTTACGTTTAAAACTAGTGTTTATGTAATTATTTTTGGTTTACATATCCAATACATGTATAAGTTTTATTCATTCAAGGTAGTCATATTAGTTCATAACTTTATTATTTGTAAGCCTGAGAGTTGCCAGATCCAAGCAAATGGTTCCCTGAACGCACCCTGTCAAAATAAGAGAGTTCCCGGATCCTGTTCTGGAAGGATCCGTCTCAAATTAAGCCATGCACGAGACTGAATATTAAATTCATTCATCTTTTCTGTTCTTTCTTTCTTTTCAGTGTACTGACCCCTCCAAAGAGCTTGTCCACCTTCACTGCCCTCCGTGATGGCGCCTGGAGAGACGGCTGCTACTGACGGCTCGACGCCTTGGCGCTCACGTGCAGCAAAACCCCGCTGGCTGGGGTCGACTCGCTGCATCTCAGCATTAAAGTGAAAACTCCTAATGGGTTTTGACCAAAAAAAAACAAACTGAGATGACCTTAAATCTGAGCTCCTACGTAGAGCAAGTCAGGTGCCGCTCTTTCAGGTTCCACGCAGAGTCTTCTTCGGAGAATCCGGGTATTTTTTCTGAAGCTGTGTTCAGTCGGTGAGTTTACGTGCCAAAAGTGAGCCGTTCCCTGTCGTGCAATAACACTGCTGGCTGTTCATTTCCTGTTGTCTTAAACAGCGTCGAGGGCTGTCGGTTCTTATTCATCACTGATACGGTTTTTATTCTTATACTTTCAATAAACGTCGATCAATCAGGTGTGCTCGCTGTCTTAACGAGCGCCAGTGATGCTGCTAACGTTTATTTCCCTTATAGTTTGAGCACTTTTTATCCAGTTTGTATTCATATTTATGCACAAGTCTCACTGTGCACATATAAATATTTATTATCTGATGCACCATTCAATTTTTAATAAAATTTAACCAAAATGGAAATATCTGTTTCACCAGACTGTTCAAACTAACACTTCAGCTCTTCTTTCTATGGTTTTTGTTGTTTATCAATGTTTGCACTTTTTTCACCCGATTTTCTGCATTTATAAAGAAACACAAGTTATTTTTTTGTTTGTTGTTGGTTGGTAGATCTCACATTTGTACACATTTTCATGTAATGGCTGTTATCACTTTTTAAAAGTAATCCTAAAAGTAAACATCCTTCACAACCTTGACATTTTTTGTTACTGTAATGAAATAGGAAGCATTTTAATAAAATTAATTAATCTAAGTCGATTTGCCTTATGTTTTCTAAATTATCTTTTAATTGCATTGAATTTATTTTATTGCCATTTAATGGTTAAATGTCTAATGATTCCTTTCTGTTTCACTCAAAGAAAATATTTACACAACTAACATTTTGAACTTACAAAACAGTCACAATTATTTAACTACCGTAATTTCCAGTGTATAAGCCACTGCTTTTTTCCCCCACACACTTAAGACAACACGGCTTATACAATGTCACAACTAATTTAGTTTATATTTATTTTTTTTTTAACTGTATTTTTTATACAAACCGGATTCCAAAAAATTTGGGACACTAAACAAATTGTGAATAAAAACTGAATGCAATGATGTGGAGATGGCAAATGTCAATATTTTATTCATAATATAACATAGATGACAGATCAAAAGTTCAATCTGAGTAAATGTAACATTTTAAAGGAAAAATATGTTGATTCAAAATTTCACAGTGTCAACAAAGCCTAAAAAAGTTGGGACAAGTAGCAATAAGTGGCTGGAAAAAGGAAATTGAGCATATAACGAACAGCTGGAAAACCAATTAACACTAATTAGGTCAATTTACAACATGATTGGGTATAAAAAGAGCTTCTCAGAGTTTCAGTGTCTCTAAGAAGCCAAGATGGTAAGAGGATCACCAATTCCACCATTGTTGCACAGAAAGATAGTGCAGCAATACCAGAATGGTGTTACCCAGCGTAAAATAGCAAAGACTTTTAAGTTATCATCATCAACCGTGCATAACATCATCAAAAGATTCAGAGAATCTGGAACAATCGCTGTGCGTAAGGTTCAAGGCTGTAAAACTCTACTGGATGCTCGTGATCTCCGGGCCCTTAAACGTCACTGCACCTCAAACAGGAATGCCACTGTCAAGGAAATAACAGAATGGGCTCAGGAATACTTCCAGAAAGCA